TCATTGACTCAGGTTGTGATACTGATTATCGTGTAGTCTATTCTGAAGTCATTCCATGATAGGATGCGGGCTTTTTAATGAGCTTCGTTCTGACCACTAGCAAAACCCAGGATAGGATGCCGGCTTTTTAACGAGCTTCGTTTCGACTCCTAGCAAAACGTGATAGGATGCGGGAATTTTTAAAGAGCTTCGTTCTGACCACTAACAAAACGTATGTACTGTAGAGGTAACTACATACATAGCATACGTTTTTATCATTGATTTTGACTGCCTTTATAAGGTCAAATATATTTTATGGAAAATATACCCAAAAAATTATTTCTTGTACTCGTTTGGTAGCAACTTACGACTTCTTTAAATTTTTTACTTAACAAAAGGGTATCCTTCGGTTTTAGAAAAAATTCTGTTGATGAGCTTTTTTACAATTTTGAGGTGTACATTCACAATGCATCGTATTCTTCAATTTATTAATGCTGCCTACACTTTTTAAAGCATGCTCCCCATCTATTGCAAAATTCTATGAGAACTATGTGACTACCTCCGCAAACCGTAGACAAAAACCTACTTTTCCTTAAACAGGATGTACACGCTGCGCAGTTGGTAAACCTTGAATTCGAGTGTAGCAGTCAGAAGGTTTCAAAATTATTCGGCAATTTAGAAACTTTTTTTTAAAACCAAAAGATACCCTTCCTTCAAGTATAAAATTTAAAGAAGGCGTATTTTGCTACCAGAAGAGTACAAGAAATAGTTTTTTCGTGCATGTCTTCCAGAAAATATATGCGAACTTATAAAGGCGGTCAAAACCAATAATAAAAACGCATACTATGTAAATTGTTACTTTTTACAGTGCATACGTTTTGCTAGTGGTCAAAACGAAGCTCATTAAAAAGCTCGCATCCTATCTTGACTGAAATAACTTCAGAATAGACTACACGATAATCAGTATCACAACCTGAGTCAATACCGATTAGCGAAAGAGTATCAATATTTCCCACATGTTGGTATGTTGCATAAATTCTGGCGCGTACTGTAGGATGCAGTCAATATGCTGCTGCGTACCTATGACAATTAACGGCCTCCTTCTACCGAGGATAACTTCCTGCTTGTGCGTTATTGGCTTGGTGGCCGGTGAGCGGGTCATGACCAGCTGAACTGTCATCGCCCGTGCTGGAATTGGACGTGATGACTGCTCGGCCACCTGGTTCTCTGGCGCTGGCGTTAGAAGAGGCGTTCGTTTGTGTGCTCTCTGACTGGTGAGCTGTTTTGGCCAAACTGAGACTCAGCACCGAATATGGGTTGGGTGGGTCAATGCGACCCTAACTCAAGAAGCTGACGACTTACGCGACTTTCACATCTTATGATTATTTTGGCGTCGCCACTCTTAAAGGTAGGACCGGCTGTTGCCAAATGAGCCGTGATCTGCGAGCTAACGTAATTCCTTCTCACTACTGGTGCATGTTCACCCACTGGCGTCCAGGTAAATACTCCAGAAGTTTCCTGCCGCGGCAGTTAGTATTTTGGCCTCATGAAATGACACTTTATGGTTGCTTCTGGTCTGTGAACAACTCAAAATTCCAGCGGCATGAGGGGCGGCTAACGGTTACCGAGACGTTCTTCACGTAAGGCAGCGCTCGCAAAAGTTTGGAACATGCTGACTCTTACAGTAGCGGGCAGTCTTACACCGATCTGTTTTAGGATGTACCCATCCTGGCTGGTGCCTTTGCGAATCTTGGTACCCCAAGTGTATGTGTTTCAAGGCGAATAGTAATGTTACTTATTGAGTTTTAGTAACGGATTTGTCTTATGTATTACCGACAAAGACAGATGGGCATCCACGTAGGCCTTTTCTGGCACATTTGTCGTCGTCAGGTGGTGATACCGAACTCCAGTGTAGCAGCGGAAATTACCGCTACACTCGAGTCTCGAACTTGCGTCTCCCTGGCCAGAGGCAAACGCCCTAACCATTGAGCCACGAATCCGCTGTCTTGTCGGTTTGTGATCGGGAGTAGATGTCCCCTTGTCTTTGTCGGTAATACATAAAACAAATGTTGACTATTGCTCATCACTCCGTTTGCACATGTATCTGCCTAGATAGCTGTTAGAGCAGGAAAACTGAATTCCGCGCTCATCTATTACGAAAGATTTCCTTGATACGGGTCACTTTGTGGACCCGAAGACATCCCTCCGACTACTCTTTCGAAAAAGAACCACTCGTAACTTGTGCTACCTGGAGGCGACTTATATACTGAACTGTACTGAATACTGTATTCTTACAAAGGGAAACCAGAGAACAGGAAAAATGAGAAACTTGTAGAAATTGTAACGCTTCTATGCAAGTATTGTATTCTTACCGAGGAGTAAGTATCCATCGTTATTGAGGACACCGTCAGTGTCAGCCAGTTCGCCCGACTCCATGTAACTATCCACGATGACTGTCATTCGTCCTCTATTTCTAAAAATTGAAAAAATCTAATTTTACGAAAAATTCATACGCCTGCGGGACCAGCTGCGTAAACAGTGCTCTGGCAGAATGGTTCTATATGAGGGAAAAGAGACAAGAAGCCAAGGAATTTGTAAATGTCCCCGGTTCCCAGTAATGCATTGAAATAAGCCGACCTGTTAGCTACAGTATTTCTTGAAGGAATTAGTATTTTTGCCTCCTTAGAAGCAACTGAATTTGTCAGGTTACAACCGGAACCTCCCTCCCCCACCCCAATTATGTCACAAGACTGAACAGCTTAGGAGGCTGGTATTCACTTGGAAACTACATAAATTAGTACTGTTTAATGGCTTCTCCGTTATATGTGGACCATCACTACAAGGCTAGGCAGAGTTTTCGCATTTCTATGCATCAGGAGGAGGTTAGGGCAAAAATGCTCAAGTCTCGACTGGAGATAGTCCACAAGGTTACCACGCCTCCCTTAACGTTTAACTCCATTGGACGTGGAGGCTTGGTCCACCAATGTCCAGCGAGTTGTGGTCTATGAGATGTCGTTATCCACCGTCAGGGCCCACCTCACTATGTTTGGAACTTGAATTCAAACTGTATGTCCAGATAGATGTTTCCGAAAAGGATTAGTGAATGTACCAGCATCAGTTCCAGTCTTAATACCTGCTGGGAACGGAAACGCCGCCAAGTGCGACTTAGACTGTCAGGACTGTTCCAGCAAAAGCATGGTTTGTCATCTTGCAATTAAGGCTTTTACTCAATATGATGCGACCTAACAAACCATTGAGATCTTTTAATTCCAACAGTTTGAATTTGTACGGAGATAAAATGAAGCGGAAATTATGCATTTAATTGACTGGCGTTTTATAGTATCATTCCGGCAAAGGTCAAGCGGTTCTCCTGACCTTTCCGTGACTGAATAAGAGTATAGACCTGCCGGTGATAACATCAGCATTTCCAATATGACTTTCAGTAAAGGTTCGGATTTAAAGCTTTTGATTTCAACTTTGGTGACAAAGTATTTATGGCTTTCAAATGGAACCATTGGATATGATCTTCTTATTTTGGACCAAAATTTCAATATAAATATTTGAGTTGATTTCACGCGAGCATATATGTGTATTAATTTCAAGCTGAGTGGTCTACGCTTAGTTGAACCAGCGCAGTAAAACGGGGTCATAACTACATTGCATGTACCTCCTTTCCAGCCAGGGTCAAGATTACCGGATACGAGTTTGGAAGGAGCTGCTGGAAATGGTACACAGTCTGTCTACGCATACCATATACGATCAGCGTCAATCTGACTCACAAGGGAGAGTATACGCCCATTTATTATGCTACTCGTGCTAAACGAGTAGGTACATTTTATAAGTATTGCTTCTCCTACAGTTTTCGCTCTTGGAAGTTTTCGCTTGAAGCATGTAGTTGACGTATTTTTTCTATTTTTATTTTGTATCCGTGCAATTTTAGCCACCTTGTTATCAATAGGGAGCTAAAAGGCATTACACTATCTTTTCCTCAATAAAATGATACTGATGACAAACATGAGCTGGCACCGCCATTCATATGCTCCGGGCCTTTCAGCTCCTGCAGGAGTGAAAGCGCCTTAGAAGCTATCTTAAGAAGGTCCCATTGCATCTGGACCCTCACTTCTAAGAGGGACCGAGTAACATCCTCAGATAGCGGTTTTTTCAGCCACATGTCTTGTCTATTTTGTGATAGGTCCAGTCACATCTAATTTATGAAAATAATGAATGTCGGCAGAAGTACATTGCTGACAAAGAAAACGGAGACGGGAATGGCAATTTCTAAAATACATTAGGCGTTATTAGCCAGCCATAACCAATTCCAGCTGTTACACCGCACGAGCCTTGAATCCTCAATCACATGATGAAAAGTCAAACGCTCTAACCATTGCACCACGGGTTCTCTGTCTGGCAGGTTTCGCTCGGGACTATTAGCTTTGGTGGACGGGCGTTTACCGATCGCCTACGGAACTTACTCTTGCTGTTCTGCCTTGGGGCAGCTCATTCTCGAACCCCACCAGTAACTACGCAGCAGCTCGTAGGTGGAAAAAAACTAACAAGCAAGACGAGAAAGACTAGAATGACCATTTCTAGGTTATTAGCGCTAAGTAGTGCAACATCGAGGATTAGGTAGGATTGGCTGATCACGGATAGTAAGCCAGAAACGGTAATCACAGTCTTTCTAGTCTTGTTGCATAATATTCTTCTGCCTGTAACACCAGCCGCTGTGTAACTTCTGGCAGATTTCGAGAGTGAGCCTCAGTACAGAAATGGATAAGTGCGTCCCGTAACCAATCATTTAGCGCCCATCCACCAAATAGGGAACATGTTGCTTTGCTCCAGCGGACGAAATATTCCTTAAATCTTTCACTCTCTGAGTCGGCGGATAGACTGGGGACGCAATTGCGCCAATTGCATGATTTGCAGTCATCTTTGCGCGCTGCAAGAATTACCGGCAGGGATCCATAGAGAGACGCCCTTGAGGTTCCACAGTGATAATAACCACTTACTTACAAATGCTCAGTATGCCGAATTTCGGCCTATCAAACCTTTCACCATTATTATGTTATCCAATAGGAGTTGTCTAATATTCTTATTGATCAATAGGCACCCTTTAGTGAACCAATAAGGGTTTACGTTGGTCGATTTTATTCTCTCCTGATACTCTTCACATACAGTAGTCGCCACAGACCATGCAATTTTCATAACTTTGTATAAGTTTGATCATTACTTGAATACCAATGTGAATGCATCTAGGAAGATTTAGAAATACCAATGAACTGCATCAGGCGTATAAGGTACTTAAAAGAACTATAGGAATTACTTAGTGTTTGTAAATAAAAATAAAATTTTCTCGATTATCCCGTGATTTTGGAAACATAAAAAAGAGCTATAAATTCGAACAATAAATTTAGATATTGTGTTAAAT